ACATCATGCTAATCTCTCACATTAACATCGTGCTAATTTCTCACATTAACATCATGCTAATCTCTCACATTAACATCATGCTAATCTATCACATTAACATCATGCTAATTTCTCACATTAACATCATGCTAATCTCTCACATTAACATCGTGCTAATCTCTCACATTAACATCATGCTAATCTCTCACATTAACATTGCCACTTCCGTGCCCTCTTCCAGGAGGCCGCTCTCCACCTATCTTACAGTAACATGCTTGTTTCTCACATTAACATCACTAGCCCCGGCCACTTCTTTATGAGCCTTGGGCTACTCCCATTTCAAACCTTTTAAAACAGTCTGCCTCAGCAGCAGACCATGCTTTCTCACCTGATGACGGACACTTGTGTTGCCCCCGAAACGACGTGACTTATTTTACACCTACGTGACTTTATCGAAAGAACCAAAGAGTTTGCACAAATGTAATAAAATTCCCTTCACATGGGCGTCGAAGATAGAGCCATACCCTGGCCCGTCAGCAGAATGTGGGATTGAACATGTGGCCTCCATCTCTTCCCTCTGTATGGGATCGAGTGTGTTCCCCCAGCACGCGTGGGTTTTCTCCACGTCCTTTGGTTTGTTCCTCCCACATGTGTCAATATTCCCGCGTGTCTGGTTCCTGGCGTGTCTGAGTCTTTCTATTTGAGAGGCAAATGAATACTGCGCGCTGTACAAGTTAAAATCATTGTTATTGCCCCAGTGTCCTCTCGTCCTTAGGGAATATAGGAGCGATGTCAGCAGTTCTCCTGCTTCTCCTGCTGTATCTGTTCCACCTGCTGACGGTCGCTTGTGTTGAGATCGAAACGTCGTGATTTATTTTATTTTATACCTACGTGACTTTACCGAAAGAACTACAGCATACTGCTGCAGAGTCTCACTTTCTGTCCCCCCGCCCCTTCTCTACCCCCTCTTCTCTCCAGCCGATCTCTTGGATTGGACTCTCATGCTCACATGTCCTTTGGATTGTACTCTCATGGTGCTAATCTCTCATTAACGCTGCTGTTGTGCGCACATGCGGGGATGATACTCTTGTGCGGTGACGTAAGCTCATTTCATGCTAATCTCTCTCCCTAATCCCTCTCTCCCTAATCTCCCCCATTAACACAACTGACGTGCTTGCGTCCGGGGATGGAATTCCTTTCCAGCTCAGACCCCGCTTGCTTGCCCATTGCCACATATATAACCTCTTGCTGTAATAGCTCTCTCGCTGGTTCAGCAGTTCCACTGCTGGATTATTTTGTGTTGCGATCGAAACATCGTGATGTATTATTCATTTTTCTACCTACGTGACTTTACTGAAAGAACCAAAGAGTAAAGCATAAATACTTTGATATTTAGAGACAGCCAACGTTAATACAAAGCTCTCTCCAGCATTAGTGGGCATTTTAATATTATACCTCCGGGAGGTTAATTTGCTTCTTTTTTAACGTAGCTAATGCGTGTGATTAAAAACAAACTAAAACCGATCCAAGCTCTTATCAAACAGGGAGATGTGGTGCCCCAATAGAACGTGCGATGGCACAGCCGCGCACAGACCAAAGATGTCGCGATCTTGCCAAATAGAAGGGTAAAAAACCAATTATCATATTTTTCTACTTGGAAATGAGGTTCCAATGGTGTAAATGCTTACCCCGAGCTCTCAGACTCTGATGGTGCATTGTCTTTGAGTTGTGCGCCTTTTGGCGTCATCTGGTCCAACCCATGTGAGACTAGGCTCTAAGGAAAGCTGTCTCGGGTGTGGACCAATCAACTTCAAGGACAGTGCACATTATCAGAGTTATGTTTTTTGTTTGCATTATGACTGCAGGTATTGTGGTCTATGCAAACATGTCTCCTTGTAAAAAAGGTGTCAGTTTTGTTGCCAGATAGAAGGGTAAAAAATTTACCCGTAAAAACAAAGTTTTTCATTATAAATCCTTTATATGCGTGGCGGCTAGAGTCCTCTCGTCCTCTGGCTTGAGATGGCTGCCACCTATGGGTCAAATGATTGCATTGCACCATTAAGCAATTGGTAATTAAATATATAATATTTTTGTCCTAAAAAGTGTAAAATTTTGGAAAAAAAATTTCACGAACATTAATTGTCTGGCACAACGAGTCTGTGTGGAAAATGTCAGCTCGATTGGATCACGGGAAGTGGGTTAAAAAACGACCGAAAGATTTGCACGGTCCTAAGCAAGCAAGCAAGCACGCAAGCAAGCAAGCATGCGAACTTAATATAAAGGATTTAAAAAAACTTTAAACGCCAGAATTTAAATGTGGAGGGAAAAACCGGACAAAAATCCAAGCAACCACGGGGAGAACGTGCAAACTCCAAATATACAGCAGCAGGCGTCAGCGTCGGGATCAAACCCACGACATCCCGTATACCAGGCGAGGTAGTTAACATCTGATAACCTCCGTGGTGTTGCAACTGTGCTCACCCCAGGAAACTTGCTGCTCGCTGACGCCGATGTATCTGCATGTTTGCGATGCTCTCTACAAGCTACCCACACCGGAGCACACCACGATACTGAGAATGTGGAATGGGCAGCGGTGGTGCGGGTCCATTGGGGGCCCTAAGCGGACACATTTCTTTTGGGTGCATCACGTGACTACAAGCAGAGCAGTTGAAATTGACTTTCTCCTCCCTACATTCAGGACCTCCTTCAGACATATTCAATCAAGATCATTACATTTCTCAGACTGTGCATTGCTCATTGTACTCTTAGGTTTTTTCGGTAAAGTCACGTAGGTAAAAATAAAAAATAATATTTCTATTATTTTTTTATTATTTTTATTTTTTACCTACGTGACTTTACCGAAAAAACCTAAGAGTATGAATCCTTGTGTGGCACATTAGAAATGGATCACTCTTTTAATTATATCCTTGTGCAGCAAGGGAGTAAAGTGTGGTTCTGTGAAGGTCCTGATGTGCAGTGCATCAATGCATGTGTGTACAGCAGCATGTGATGACCGAGTCGGGCCTGTAGGTGGCTGGCAGGGTTAATGAATAACCGCACGTGTAGACCAGCCACGTGGTTAATGGCGACTCGGAAGAATTGCTGCGTGTAACACGTGCTGTTCTTCACAAGATTAATATTAACCACAATAAATAAATGTGCTTGCTCTCGATTTGGAGCACCTGCCCACGTCCTTCATTTCGAGTGTGCAACACTTGCAGTCACGAAAGCTTCAAATCTAGAATTGCTCATTGTCCCACGGTCTAGGCGTCACACTTGGGTGGCGACGGCGCCTTTGCAATTGCGGCACCTAAACTCTGAAACTCGTCACCCCTTCGAGGTCAGGACTTCCTAGACACAAATCTTCAAATTTCTTCACTTCTTTTCCTTGGTTGACGTTAAACTATTTTCCACCTTCCCATGCATAGCGCCCTGAGAACGATTGTTTAAGGGTGCTTGAAACATTTTAATGATTATTAATAACTCAGTTTACAGAATAGCGCAAAGTTGCACGAAACAAAGGCTGAAATACGTTGTAACTTGTTTTGCACAGTGCCATTGTAATGGTGAGCTTTTTAATTGTTATCAGGATGTGAATTGAGATATTTGGCACAGCTCTGCTGTCATTTTTTTCCATGATGCATCCAGGACCCCTCGAGCTGCTTGGGGCCATAAACTTTTTAGTTGCTGAACCCTCATCACAATCCTGCGCTGTGAACGCATGTAAAATAAATGTTTCTCAACAATGTTTTCCTGATAATTTGTCCTGACACTTATGTCAATAAACACGTTTTCAGAAACGCGATGTAATAAACGGACCAATGGAACACTTTGTGGCACTGTTGACCAGAAATGTTCGCCCAATAAATTCCGCGACAAAGCGTTCATAACGGAATTGGTGCATTTTACAAGTTTGATGTGAATACGTTACATTTTAAGTAAAATAAACAAGGTGTAGGCCTGGTACACGTGTAGCGTGGTGACACCCACTTTAATTAGGTTTTACAGAAGCAGGTACTCGTACAGGCTACAATTATGATTGCGAAGATAACATTAATCATAAAACATGTCTCACAGCGTGAAAAACAAAACCGTAAAATGGTGTTTAGCAGTGCCAGCTGTGGTGACGAGATGTCAACTACCTCGTCTGCGATGCAAGGAGGTCGTGGATTTGATCACAACCCTGATCTGTCGCTCCACCCGAAACTTCGGGTCTTCTCAGCCACAGTCATTCCATCCCTTCTCTATGCTTGTGAAACGTGGACCCCTCTAATGGAACATCTGCGCCGATTAGAAAGATTCAGGCTGGCCTGCCTATGATCCATCATGGGCTTAACCAGGCTTATTTTAGCTGGATAAAGGGGGGTAAACGGGTTAGAGAAGAGATGGACCGATGCAGTACAGGAGGTTATGGAGCTGAGTGGACTTGCCAAAGACTGGTACGAGTGGTGTCAAGATCGGCCTCTGGATGAGGCTCGTGAAGGACGCCACTGGGCAGTTGGATGCAGTCGCCTTCCAACAACAACAGAGGAAAAAGGAGCGACGCTCACGACGAGTGGAGAGCCAGGCGGAGAGCCAGGCGGTTAAAACACAGCAAGATGGCACAGCAGGGGGCACAGGTGGTGCATCTGCCAGTCATCTCAGTCAACCCATTGTACCTGGGTCTATCCCATGATCCACTGTCAGTGAGCCTTCGACACTTCACGTGGACTCAGAATGCACCTGGCCTACCACAGGCAGTGTGGTAACATCACCGTCACTCAGTAGCGCATTTGTACGTGCATGCCCCGTGTATCTCTTTATGTGTGCATGTGCATGCCTGCCCCGTGTGTACAATTGTGTTGACTGATTGAACCCCTTCCGACAATAAAGCCAGCATCAGGACTCACGGTAAGTCAGAATCAGAATATTTATTTACATTCGCAACAAACAGTACCTCGATAAATATGTACATTATAATCTTAACTCTTGATACATGATGAAAAATATTTACAAATCACATTGACAAATGTGCCTGTATCCACATCCATTTCAGATGCGAACAGGTCTCTGGAAAAATTATTTTTTATCGGCGGAAGAATGTCCTAAGTCGCTTCCAGAGGCCTTTCTTCTTGTGGATCTTGGCGGCGACCGGCTCCCGTGCCGGCTCCCGTGCCGGCTCCTGTGCAGGCTCCCGTGCCGGTTGCTGTCTCAACGAGCTGCACTGAATAAGCTCCTGCTGCTGCTGCTGCTGATGATGATGACGCTGCTCCCGTGCCGGCTCGCGTGCCGGCTCGCGTGCCGGCTCCCATGCCGGTTGCTGTCTCAACGAGCTGCGCTGAATATGCTGCTGCTGCTGCTGACGATGCCATTGCTCCTGTGCACATTCTTTGAGCTCCTGTTGCTCGAGGACTGCACGGCTGCTCTTGTACAGGAGGTGGCTTTGGAGAGCCCACGTGTGCAGCTTCCCAGCGGGCACTGCGGGAGACACAGCAGAGAGGGATGAAACCGACAGTGGTCAATATTGGAAAAACAGCACCGAGCGTTGATTGCATCGATGTTCAAAATAGCTTTTGGTAAACGTTGGAATTTTCTTTGGTAAGGTTACCTAATTCCTGCCCCCAACCCTGACCAATAGATCCACCACGAAGCACTTTGATTGATGGATGCTGTGACGATCATTTATTCATGCCAGCCATCCTGTCGTTCATTAGCTTCCTCGTCAACAATGGATAGTTATTACCACGGCCATAGCTATCATAAATCTAATATCTTGATACCTCTGCTAATGTCAAGGACTCAATTTACTAGGTTGACCGTCTCCTGAGCTCCCCCATGCACACACATTACATTCGAGGACAAACTATCCTCCTTCTTTCCACACTCTGTTTGACTACCTTATGATCTTGTGTTTAAGTCTGTTGTAAGATCATAAATAATAAGAAATATACATCCCTTTGTCAATCCATTACTTAATGAAAAACACCTCCCCCAATGCCACGAAAGTCATTGGAAGTATTTTACCATTCGTCACTGTGCTCGTCACTGCAGGTGGGTGCAAAATGCAACCTGGAATCTGTTCTAAATATCACTCACCACTCATGATAGCCGCGGCTCATAATTCACAGTGCAACACAGAAACAACTTTGAAACTGTTTCCGTCATATAATTGTTTCAAACGTTTAAACAATTAATTATGTCTGCCCCCTCCTCCCCCGAGTTGGCAATGCCGTTTGCTACTTACTCTTCATCAGCGAGTTGTGGAACTCCCTGGGCTGTGGGGACATGCTTGCTCTGGTGGCAAGGCCATTGTCCGGAGCAGTGGCGGTGACATTGGTGGTGGTGGTGGCGGTGCTCAGGGCAGTCATGGTGGCATCTTCTTTGCTGTGAACACAATAAACAACAAGCGGCAAGAATGTCAAAAGGCTGAACTCTGCAATAGAATGCAGAATAAGGGGCAAGTAGCTAGTTGTAATCAACTACTAGTTTATCATAGTTGAATATAGTGGAATAAATTATGTTCACCATAAATTATGTTTACAATGTGAGAAAGGCCATCGCAATTATTACAGCAAAGCACCATAGCTAGCCACAACCACTCAAGAACCTCCACTATCCACAAAAACCATGCCACAACCGTACACAACTGCCATTCATATGGAGCTGGAGGTTTTCCCAAGTTATAATCACGATGCAAGCCAACCTCTTCCTCAAAACACTTTGTAGCAGCCCTTTCACGATTGTTTATCCCTGCGTTGTGTTCATCACTCGTTACTTAACCTACACTGCGATCTGACACTCCAGGGTTTCTGGCAACGTCAGGGTTCACCAACCACCCCCTTTTGATCAAGGGTTTAAGGCGTTATTGTGCCAATCATGTCAGATCGTCACCAATGTCTCTCTCCTCTGAGAAAACCCAGACCATTATCGCTCGTTAAACGGGCTAGGGATGAAAACTCAATGAGAGGGTTGGTCTGATTCCGGGATGACGTCTCGAATTCGCCTCTGTGTCCGCTGAGGTGAGCACAGCCTTGCTGTCAAAAGAGATACATCAATCCCAGCTCACTCTCAGTACCATTATGTCCCTGTCACTGCTGCTGGAACGGCTGCCCGAGTTGTCCCAGCTCACGGCATCCCACGGTGGATCAACGGCCAGCTCGTCCGTTTGGACAGCGGCGTTGACCTGCCCCTTGATTGTGCCGGGCTAGAATCCCTCTCCGCTAGCCGTGCGTCTGTTGATTGTGCGTTTGTGCAGCTGCAGTGGCAACGCATCTGCAGATTGTTCACTGCGCTTGCTTTTACTCACTCCGAGATGACTTCCTTCTTCCGGGACTGCACCGTGACCGCCTCCTTTTCCACCTCCTGTCCCAAGCAGGTGCACTCAGTCGACCCGGCCATGGGCTCTGGGATGTAAATTTCCACAGTGCGCTCATGGCCAATGCGCATGAATTGAAGTTGAATTGTTTTTTTCTGCTTTTGCTGATGTGGCTGCTGCTGCTCCTGTGAGTCTTTTTTAAACTGCTCCTCTTCATTGTGGCCTACACAGGTTTTCCTGTGAAGTGCCACATTGCTGTGAGCAGACGGTCCAATGGTCTGCCTGGATAGCTTCCGTGGGGACACTGTGGGAGAAAGAGCGGAGAGAGATTAAACGGACAGTGGTCAGTATTGGAAACACAAGCACAGAGCGATGATTGCATTGATGTTCAAAATATCTTTTGGCAAACGTTGGAATTTTCTTTGGTAAGGTCACCTAATTCCTGCCCCCAACCCTGATCAATAGATCCACCACGAAGCACTTTGATTGATTAATCTTGCGGCGCTCATTCATTTATGCCAGCAATCCTTTGTCATTCATTCGTTTCCTCATTATTAATATAGAGGTATTACCACGGCCACAGTTCTCATAAAGTTCACATCTTAATACCTGTGCTCATAGCAAGGACTCAATTGACTAGGTTGACCGTTACCTGAGCTCTACCATCCGCACTCATTATATTACAAGACAAACTATGTATCTTCCTCCTTCTTTCAGCACTCTGATTGACTATATTGTGATCTTGTGTTTAAGTAAGGTAAGATCATAAATAATAAGAAATATATAGAAAAAATAGTTTCCAACGTTTAATGAATACATTCTGGCTACCCCTTCTTCCCCCGAGTTGGCAATGCTGTCTGCTACTTACCCTTCACCAGCGAGTCGTGGGTCTGCCTGGACCGCGGGCACGTGCATGCCCTGGTCGCATGGTCATTATCCCGAGCAGCAACAGCAGCAGTGGTATTGGTGGTGCTGTGAACACACGAAAAATAAAAGTGGCAAGAATGTGAAAAGGATGAACTCTGCAATAGAATGGAGTAAACGGGCAAGTAACTAGTCACAATCAACTAGCCAAGCAGCCACGAGGACTTGTCTACCCAATGAACCTAACCAATTCACTAAGTTGACAGGGGGTATGTGACCTCCCAATTCCATACCTTTAATCCCAACCGCACATTTGGCACTTGGCTATGCCCGCTTTTCAGGAAATGCCCACCTTTCAGTTTTGGTGATCATGGTGCAAGGGAGGATTATCTTGCGTGGAAAATCAAGAGAAAAGGATTTTATATCTATGCCAAATATTATTTTAAAACCTCCGCTAGGTAGTGCTACGATAATTTCAAATTCAAATATATTAAACAGGTGAGCATGGGAATGAAATGCGTGAGTTAGTGTTCATATGCAAAAAGAAAAAAAAAACATTTTAAGGGTAAGGCGAAAACACCACTGACATCATCTGAAATCACAAGCCAATTATGGATGGTGAAATCTAATTCTACTGCAGTTAATGTGCAATACTGGGGCTGCTTGGTGCATAACATGTCTGCACAGCGTGGTGACACAGTTAACAGGTGAGTAAGTCTTCCCGCAATGCTCATTTGTTAAAATTTGGGAGTGGGTTTCCTTTTTCTTGGTATATCTGTGTCATTGTTATTTCAAGAAAATACAAATATAACGGACACAGGGTCCTGTCTGTTGGCATAGATCGTACGTACCATTGCCCCAGCAGTGTGATGAAGTTCCTGTACACAGTGACGAGTATAATAGTACCAGTCTTTATCGCGTTCACCATGGATGACATGTGTTTGAGTCTGTAGCCCAGCATTTTGGCCTTCTCCACCTTGAACAGCACATCTCCTGTCGAGTGAAATGGACACAACGTTCATCTGCTATTAGCTCATGTTTGTGCATGTGCTTGTATGTACGTCTTTGTATGGACATGTGTGTGCGAGGGGCTGCTAAGCCCTCCACCTTGCACTTGTTCTACCAAGCACCACGGTGGAAACGCTGAAATAAGCTCATGCTGGAGGCCCCAGAGGACAAGTGTTATGACGCCTACTGGCCAAACTCAAGATCGTCCTCTATGAAGGAAGCTCATGAAGGACGCTACCCAGGCAGTTGGAGGCAGTCGCCCTCCAACAACAACGGAGGGCAGAGGAGCGACGCTCACAATGACTAGCAGAGTGCCAGGCAGCTAAAATGCGCACGTTGGCACAGGAGGCAACACAGCTGGTGCATCTGCCAGTCATCTCAGTCAAACCATGGCACCTGGTTGTGTCAGGTGACCTCCTGTCAGCTAACCTTCGACACTTAACATGGCCTTAAATTGCACCTGGCCTGGCACCGGCGCCGTGGTGATGTCACTGCCGCTTAGTTGCGAATACCGGGTGATGTTGTTGTGTGGACACAACGACCTTGAAATACATATAGCCTCACACAAGTGTCGTGTGGAATGGAAACTGCCACGTGTTTGGAGAAGTGGAGCAGGGATTTACGCACTGCACCATAAATCCAGTGACATCATCTGTAATGAATGATATCTAAACGGTGTTTTGGGCCTTTCCGAGATCAATTCCATCTTAAATGAGCACCTGGTGCATTGTGTAAACATCAGCATTGGGAATACAAATGTGGCTGGGTGAGGTGCTCACCATGCCAATGTACAACTTTTCATAGGTGCCCACTATTAGAAATTGCCCTATCAGTCTCTGTGCTCGAATTTCATCAGAATAATTTTAACACCAAACTTCACATGATGTTGCCAAACATGTCATCATTGTTGAATTAGCTGAGACCAAACCTGTTTAAGTCACAGGCAGCTGAAACCCAGATCTGAATTCAAAATCTCAAAGACTCTCAGCTCAGTGTTCTGACCTCTGAACCACTTTGCCACGTCTGATGTACTTTTGTTTAAAAAAAAAACATAAAAAACATAATGGCCATCCCTACACCTCATATCACAGTACTTGCTTGGCCCGTGCATGTGTGCAGTGTCTTACCTGGCTGCAGTATTGCGGTTCGTTGAGCAAAACTTCCAGGAGTAAGTGAAACCAGTTGTATATATGCTCCACACTGTACGAAATTCAGCCCCCACCCGATATATTTCTCCATAATTACATATGTCTTAACGATTTGCACATCCTTTGGCTCCAGTTTCGTGCTAAGCAGGAATCCTGCAGCCATAGAGAAGGGAAGGATTAGGGTTAGTTAGAAAGAGGTGGTGAGTAGCATAAATACAGCAGTTTTTTTTGCGACTTATAGTTTTTAGGTGGTTATTTTTCAAAATAACATCTCTGAGAATGAGAAATGTTGGGCCAAACTGAGTTCCTGTTAAAATGATAATTGGGTGCAGTGATCATCTCCCGTTTACAGCCCTGAGCCAAAGGAGGCTATTACACATTCTTATGACGGGGACGAGATGGTTTATATTTTCTCCATTCATAAAAAGAGTAGAACCCATCTTAACGACGGTAATTGGTTCTATGAAACCGGTTGTTAAGTGATTTGGTCGTGAAGCGAGTATAGGAAATAAAGTATTCATAATCAACGTTTTTGGGTTTAGATCGCGTTATTTATAAATGTGTCGTAACCCTCCACCACCCGACACGGCCAATCAGTAAAAAAGTACACCAAGAATTCAAAAGATATGTTTCCACTTCAAAGGCAGCCAACACCAAATGTAAACAATTCCCAATGCTCATGAATAGACGTTGCTGATTGGCCGAGGCCTGGTCAGATCACTTTGAAGCTTGCCGATTGGCTGAAATGAGCGGTCACGTGCTCGTCGTACGCCCATCGTTAACATAGGAATGGTCGGTAAGCGAACACATTGGGCTCTTCTTCTTGGTTCTTTCGGTAAAGTCACGTAGAATGAAAATAATAAAATAATACAAATAAAACATAATAAAATAATTCTCACGACGTTTCGGCCACGACGCAAGCAGCCGTGGAGAACAGGTCTGTCGAGAAGACAGAGTCCATTCAGACGCTGTCTTCTCGACAGACCGGTTCTCCACCTGAGGACGGCTGCTTGCGTTGTGGCCGAAACGTCGTGAGAATTATTTTATTATTAAATCGAAACATTGGGCTCTATGGAGGCCCTACACTACTATACACTACACTATACACTACACTATATAATACACAATGGGCTCTATGGAGGCATGTCGTTAAGCGATTAGTTGTCAACAGGGGTGGTCGCTAAGTGGGGTTCTACTGTATGTGTTTGTTTCTACAATTAAATAATATCTTCCTAATTTCACTATGAATAATTCTGGGAAAAGTGTCAGCTTGTCTGACTTCCCTCCTAATATGGATATTGCTATTTCTGAGTAGAATGCCTTTTCATAGTCTAAAAACGTCAGGTTAATTGGTAATTGAAATTAATTGGTATTTTCCAGATTGTGATTACTGCTATGCATGGGGTGGGGCACCCCATATGCAACTAATTACAACAATTTGGTGGGCTTTGGCAGGACCTGTCACCATAAGAAATTACGGATAAAGGTCGAAAATATTAGTGGTGTAGCAGCCAAGGAATGGAAGGAATCCAAGAGTACATCGTATTATGTAACCCTATTATCCGTGAATTTTGCGGATAAGATTCACGTGAAACATACATCATATTATCCACGAATAGATACAGATACACCAACATGGACTCACGCGAAAATACGTGAAGACACAAAAACAGACAGAACACACCCACTGAAACATGCATAATAAACACACAACGACATGGATACACGTAGAAATACAGAGAGACACACACAGAAACATGGAGACATTCAGAGACACACACAAGTACACCAATACAGACATCGAGAGACACAGACATACAGAGACACAAACAGATGAGATGCAGGTACTGGACTTAGAGACACACATAGGGATAAGTAGAGAAAGGTAAAGTACAAAACAGAGATGGCGAGAGACACATATAGACCACTGAGACGCCTGAGATATATGGTTGAGCAACATTGAGTGTGTGCAGACACTCTGTTATGTTGTATGTAAAGCAACATTATCAGTGGTTTTCATGGCCAGACACTTATGTACACAGAAACACACACGCGTCGGTATCTGTGTAGGCCCTGAGAAGCCCCTGAATAAATCATTCATGTTTAAAACTCTTTATCCGCAATAACGTGGATTAGCAGCGTGCGTGATTACGATTTTGCGTGTCGTCACCATGAAGCGAGATCACGTGTGAGGGGCGGGGCTTAATGATGTGACGTCACACACCCGCAGGCCACGCCCATTACCGAGGATTATCTGCGGATTCATATTCTATACATTTTTGTGGAACGGAACCTTATAATCGGTGAATTTTGAGGAAAAGAGGAGGAGTCACGTGAAAAAAATTACATATTATCCGCGAATAGACATTGACACACAAACATGGAGACACGCAAATCATCCACATACATAAAGACACATAAAAGCATAACACACCCAGAGACATGCATACACACACACAAAACACGGATGCACAGAGAAATACAAAGACACACACACACACAGACATTCAGAGACAAACACGTGCACACAAATACACTCGATCTCACGTTGTATGTAAAGCACGACCTCCTGTATACCAACACATTTGCGCACACACAAACACACACGCGCCGGTACCTGCGTAGGTCCTAAGAAGCTCCATTATCAATCCTTCCTTTATGTTTACAACTCTTGATTAGCCCTCGACAAACAACAGGCTCCCGTCCTGTCAACCAGCAATAACGTGGACTCGAGGCGCGCACGTGATGATTGCGTGTCGTCACCGTTGAGCGCGGTCACGTGTGGGGGCGGGTGCTAAATCAATGACGTCACACACCCGCAGGCCACGCCCATCCCACGCTCGCTCCGCCCCCCCCTCACCGCTCTATGAAGCTTTGGTTTAACACGTGGCATTCGCGACCAATATCCGTATCTTCTTGGTTCTTTCGGTCAAGTCACGTAGAAGGGAAGTAATTAAATAATAAATAATAAAACATAGTAAAATAATTCTCACGACGTTTCGGCCGAAACGTCGTGAGAATTATTTTATTATGTTTTATTTTTATTATTTTATTACTTCCCTTCTACGTGCCTTTACCGAAAGAACCAAGAAAATGAATCCCTGCAGTCACGAAAGCTTTAAATCAAAATACAATATCCGTATGTTGGGTTAAATCGCGTAAATATGAATGTGGCGTTTAAGCCGCAACTACGTGCATGCATAATGTACGCTGATTACCGTATGAATAACCCAGCCGGCAACGGATACCCATTTGTAGTTAACGTTTTCATCTCCCCCCCCCCTTCGCAACTCACAAGATATCATCACATCTATCCGTCTATTTAAGGAACAAAATAGAATTTCTCCACAAATCTGGCTGTCGCCTGACGAAGCTAGTTGTAATGGCTGGCGAGACGTCGTACTCGGATTGTAAATGTTGTGTATTTGCTCTCCAACACACCGGTGTGCTGTACTAGGAACGAATTGGCAAGTTCTGTTTACGTTACAACCCTTACTAATTAGCTGTGTCGGGTGGTGGCGGGATTAATATTTACGCAATCTAAGGGGCCGTCCATAAATGACGTCACGCACCTGGGGAGGGGGCGGGGGGAGTCAGACATTTGTGACGATGTGTGACGAGGGGGGGGGGGTTTGAGAAATGTGACGTCACATCAAAATGCGCAACTTTAAATAAATATAGGCAACACGTTCTACTTAATTGAATAGACTTTTTAATACATGTTTTCTCCTACAACATCAGAGTGCAGCGCCACATTAAATACGTACTGCAATGACAATAGTTTAAAGCGATTTGAAGCATGTTTTATTTTTTGGGGGGGGGCAGAGCTTTGTGACGTCATATTTGAGGGGGGGGTCTGACTTTTTGTGACGCCGTGTGACGAGGGGGGGGGGGTCAAAAATCGTCCACAATCGCGTGACGTCATTTATGGACGGTTCCTAACCCAAAAAACCTATATTATCTAATAAGCTTTGTCTTCACAATCGCTGAACGCGGGTCCACAACGCCAAGCAGTTCGCGACAAAAGCGCACGATCTAACTTGCAATCTTCTATGTCTTAATGGCACGGTTCTTAAATTGAGTACGGTTGTAAGAGCTTGTCTGTCAGTCGCAATTTAAAACATTGCGCTCTCTTAATAGATGTTCTAAATGAGCAAAGCTTAGGAAGAGGATGTCTGTTGAATTGTTTAGTGCTGCATGATTAACGTCCCATCGGCTGTTTGGTGTGTAGAATGATTGTGTGTCATGTATAGATGTCTTTAAAATATTTGTTTTGTTTTGCAAATACTGTACACGCTTTCGTTCGCTTTAGATAGTTTCTGATACTTTACAAAAAGGGGAGTGTCTGGACTGAAAGGAGGCCACTGGCTTCGGCTAAACGGGACATTTCACGAGTGGATCGCAATTGACATTGTCCACTGTGTACTCTTTGGTTCTTTCGGTAAAGGCACGTAGAAAGTAAATAAATAAAATAATATTTATCGTCCTCTCCTGCCTCTAGTCTCGCGTCCACTCCTCTCTACTTTCCCAATCTTACTGGCTGTCTATCTTAGTCCTCTAAAGCCTCCCATATCACCCCTTCTCTCATCTGGGGCACCGCGGTGGCTATGAGATGTTAACTACCTCGCCTGGTATGCAGGAGGTCGTGGATTCGATCCCGACCCTGACACCTGCTCTATATTTGGAGTTTGCGTGTCTCTCTCCCCGTGGTCGCATGGATTTTTCTGTGGGTCCTCCGGTTTTCCCCTCCACGTTTAGAAAGGCGCGTTTAGAGTATATGACTGCTATTAATCTACACACGATGAACCACTTTGTTGGTCTGTCACTTGTGACCAGGTCACTTCGGAATAAAGAGCTATCCAGTTCAGTGGGCCTTACCTGGTAAAATGAACATAGTTTAGTCTAGTGATAGGTTTTTACCCTTTCAACTGGTACAACAACTGACACCTTTATACAAGGCAGTTTTTGTACCAGTTGAAAGGGTAAAAACCTATCACTTTATTTTGCCATTGGTAAAGGAGGTCTCATAGTATAGTTTAGTCTAGTTTATAAATGTGTATTCCAGGGTCGATCGGCAGGTCGAGTGTGGTGGGGTAAAGTGTGGGTAGTTCTACCTCGTCCAAGACGCACTGGCCAGTGTGGAAGAGTAGACC